CTTCCACGGCACCACTGCCTTGGGAGATTCTGTAATTCACAAACTCACTGCTGCTTCTGACCACTGATTTTAATGGGGGCATGCCATGTTCTTTCAAAGAATTGTGTAATTTTCTGAATGAGTCAAGTGATGAACAGACTTTACAGGTGATTTTATTGCAGTCAGCACATACTGCATATTCTCAGCCTATTTTTATGGGTCTATCTGATCAAGAGACAGACTGAAAAACACCACAACAAGCAAAATAAATCACCTAATATATGCAGGCTTACGTTAACATTTTACATCACAGGTTAATATGATTAAGCTAATAATTTCAGGATAAATCTAAGCAAAATAGCTACTCGGCAAACATTCTATTATTGCTCCTCTCTGATTTCAATGGCCTTGGAAAAGGGTGATGGGTTCTCCTCTGAGATGGCAAAGGTGAAGGGAAGGAATTATAAGAAAGCAGTTAAAATACTTTGGTACTATATTAATTTCTCCATTTAATTATGTCACACTTCTAGTTCTTCCATTCTACTAACTGGGTAGGAAGTCAAGTAAGTTACTTGTCTTTTCTGAGCTCCAACTTCCTTAACGGTGGAAGTTGGAAAAACAACTATCTCAGCGGTGCTTTGAGTATTACATTGGGAAAACAGACATAAAACTGGTAAGGAAAATGTAAAGTGCTACGCAAATATAAAGTATTTGATATATCATAAGATTTACAGTCTAAATGTTCAAGTGCCTGGTGCAATACATTGCCCATGAGTGCTCAAATATTTGTCCATTTATTCAATCACCATTTAAAACTCAGGTCCCAAAAATTCAATTCCGGAACACAAAACCAACTCATGTACTACTCCTGCATTTTTCACTAGTAACATTATTAAGAAACCAGTTGTGCCTTTAGAATGATGAGTCATTCAATCCAATCCAAATCAACAGTTTTATTATTTTTTTTTTCAATTTGTATTCTGTGCTAGGTCCTGTTCCAGTTGCTACATACAGTAATACGCTCATTTAATACTTCGAATACCGGGTGGAAGAGTTATTATCCACAAATGAAAAACTAAAGCACAAGTTTAAGTAACATGCCCAAGGACACAAGGCTAGCAAATGACAGACCTGGTGTTGCTCGAACTGAGGTATGACACCAAAACCGTGGCTCTCCACTACTACTACTCACTCTGCAATATGGTAGCCCGCCACATGTGACTACTGGGCACTTGAAGGCTGGCTAGTCTGAACGTAACTGTGCTGTAATTATACAATGCACACCACACTGCAAAGACTTAGTACGATAAAAACAACATAAAGAAGTCTTACTGCCATTTTATATTGATTACAGGTTGAAATGACAGTATTTTAGATAAAACCGATTAAACAAAATAAATTCTTGAAATTAACTTCACCTGCTTTTTACTCGCTCACTGTGGCTAACAAAGTTTTAAATTTCATGTGCCTCGCAAAGCATATACTAACTTTGGACGGTACTGATGTAGAACATCATACAAAACACTTCTAATACAAAGAGCACAAAAGAGCTTCAAATTTATAAACACATGCTTTGGAGTACAAATATACTCTCCAATCTCAGCTAATAACTGTTTTTAATACTAAATTAGTGTAACCAACATTAAAAAAAGTATAATCTCTTCATGTAAAATATTATTTTTTATTCCAGAATTAGATTTTTTAAATTTCCCATTAGGAAAATTGGTTTTTCCAACTATAAAAGTGCTATCAACTAATCTACACTACAGGAATTACAGAAAAGCACACACACAAAAGAATCCATCACCCTACCAGTCAGAATATTTTAATCATTCAATAGTTCTGGGTATATATATATCCACTGATATAAATTATTAATGTGTGACCATATTGTTTTATCATTTTGAAACTTGCTTTTTTTCCCTAATATATTACGAACATTTCCTTTTATTACAAATTCTAAAAATTAACTTTTTATTTTGAAATAATTACAGATACACAGAATGTTGCAAAAATAGTATGAGGTCCCATATAACTTTCATCCAGTTTCCCATTCAGGGTTGCACCTTCTGGTAACAGGGCATTGGTGCCGCGCATGCGTGTGTGTGTGTGTGTGTATGTGTGTGTGTAGTTCTATGCCACCTGATTACAAGTGTAGATTCATGTAACAACCACCACCACAATCCAGATTAGGTTTCATCAATACACAACTTTCCATCTTGCTACCCCTTTACCCATCTCCCTTCCACCCCATCAGTCCTAACCCTAATCTGTTCTAATTTTGTTATTACAAAAATGTTAATGGCCTCCTACAGTATGTGACCTTCAGAGACTGGCTTTTCCACTCAGCATCAGGCACTTGAAATTGGTGCCAGCTGTTCTATGTATCAAGAATTTGTTTTTCCTTAATGGCTGAATAGTATTCCACATTGAATGAATGTACCTATCATTCGCCTACTGAAGGATATGCAGGTTACTTCCAGTTTTAGGCTGTTCAAATAAATCTGCCGTGAACATTTGTGAATAGGTTTTATGTGAACTTAAGTTTACATTTCTCGCGGATAAATCCCCAGAAATGCAACTAGTAGGTCATACAAGTAAGTATATGGTTAATTTTGCAATAAACTGCCAAACTACTTTTCAGCGTGGTTTTATCTTCTTACATTCCCACAACAAATGTATAAAAGACCTCAAAACACTTTTTGAGCTACAAAATATTTACTGCTATTCCAGAGTTTTGTTTTTTTTAAACAATTCCCAGCTGATTCCTATGTAGGTAATTTAATTTTCTTTTCTTTTCTTTTTAGTTTAACTTGTAGCAAGAATTACTATCAAACTCCACTTCCTGGGACAGAGACCCCTGTGGTGTTAGGGGAAGACCTGGCCCTCAGGTAGCACACTACCTACATCTGTGAGTTTATCATCTAGACAATCATTTTGGACAACTATTTTGTTATAATAATGGACACTTACTATAATTTGGGTAATTATTTTGTTAAAATAATGATGTAATATATTTACAGAAAAATTTTTACATGCAGATCACACAAAATCCTACAAGTTGAATTGTTTGGTCTCAGGGTACAAATATTAAAGGCATTCGATACCAAAGGCCATAATGGCCTTCCAAAAACTTAAATCGACTTACTCAGTCACGGAGTATCCGTGAGAATACCCTATTCTTCCTAGACTTGCCACAAAATTTGTATTCTTGAAATGAGATTTTCCAAAAATGCTTCTTTGTATTTATTTAACTAATGCGAAGGTTACACATTTCTCATGTTTCCAGACTTAATTTGTAATTCTTTTATAAACTACCTATTCGTGTTCTTTGCCAACTTTTTACTGAAATGTTGGTTTATTGTAAAACTTAGTTCTAACATATGCTGCAAGGAAATAGCTTTTTAAAATACATATATCTGAAATCCAAGCCACATATTAATACTGTAAGACAGCATCTGATTTTATAATGTAAAAATGATACAACTTTAGTTGATATGATTCTCCAGTTTATTTGTGAGTATTCCTATATTACACACAATGTACTGGTTAAAAAAAAAAAATCACCTCTAATGCCAGCACTAGATTAAAAACATGAATGTTGGGGGTGCCTGGGTGGCTCAGCCAGTTAAGCATCCAACTCTTGGTCTCACGGTTTGTCAGTTCAAGCCCCCCCTCAGGTTCTGCATGGACAGTGCAGAGCCTGCTTGGAATTCATTCTTTCTCTCCCCTTCCCTTGCATGTGCACACACGTGCTTTCTCTCTCTCTCAAAATAAAGAATTAATTAATTAATAAAATAGTATGGAACTGTGGTCTTCTAATAAAAATTAAATACATAAAAAACATGAATGTTGATCAATATTCTTAAATTCACTTTGAAATGCCAAGACATAAATTTTCCATAAGCAAAACATCAAAAACTATCTCCAGCTTCACTAAGAAACATGGCTGACTTCTCTTCAGGCGAATTTAGGGTCATCCATCCAGGACTTCTCAAAAGTGTGCTTCCCAGACCAGCACCAGCAGTTATCAACACCACCTAGGAACTTCTAAGAAATGCTAAGGCACATGCCCTACCCCAGACCCATTCAATATAAAACCAGGGGGTGAGGGAAGGAACAGGAAATCAAGCAATGTGTTTCAACAAGTTTTCAGGTGATTCTGATACATACTGAAGTTTGAGAACCACCATTCTCAACAAATTTAATATCAAAACATGAAATCTCAATTGCCTTGTATACTTAGTTGTTCTTTTAAACGGAGGACTTGGGCGAAGTTAATCATGCCACAAATATTACAAATTCAATGACATTTTCATTCTCCAAATTAAAACAATCCAGAAAGAAAACTGGAAACTGGATGTTAGCTTTATTTCCTGTAAAAAAGAATCCTAAAAACCATGAAGTGTCCACAAAAAATCTCCCTTGGAAGAAAAATCTAAAATGAACCATATAAACTACCAGGTCAGAATACGTGTCTTTCAAACCAGAAACTCAACTAGTTTTGTACCACACACCGCCTGATCTTCCCACTCCTACATGAACTAAGTACCCCCTACCACACTTCGACAATTGAATGAACTAGCATATCCGACAGCACTTGGAAAACTAGTTACTCAACTATTTGTGGTCCAGTGAACAAATAAACAAATTGGTCAATACATAATAATTCTGCATGGCAGTATATGGGTGACCCTTGTTTATGTTTTTCTCTTTTGCCCCCAAAGTTTCTGTAACAAGCATGTATTACCACCTTCACAACTAAAATAAAGGAGAATCAAGACCGTATGTCATGATACAGGAGATGAACCTACAAAACACCAGTATTTTTCAATCTGACCAATGTACTGATAATCTTTCTTTCCTTTATCTGAATGATAAAAATTTACACGATGCTGGTACACAAAATTCCAGCCTTCAAGTTTATTACGGTTTGAAATTAGAACCGCGTATGTCATGACTATTAACCCAGTTACAAAAGTTGTGTTACTATGGTAACTAGTTTCTATCTACCTGGCTAAGTGTCCCATCTCCCTTCAAGTTAAGATTGCAGATGTATTAGGCCTGGACAATCCAAGTATCCCAACCTCCAGGCAACAAAGAACAGTCCAAGGGCTGGGCAAGTAACAGGGGTCTTGATTCCTGCAGTTGATTCCAAGTTCAAATGGTAGGTATCTTTCTCCTTAGTGGTTATGTAAGCCAGCAAAATTGTTTTTGACTTCAGGTAATTTGAGGCAAATTCTTATTTCTTGAAAACTTGAATATTCTGGCACCACTTAGGCCATTAAACAACTTTTAAAGGACTGTTTTGTTAAAAAAAAAAAAAAGAAGAGTGCATAAACCTTATAACCCACATATGAAATCTGATCTTTTCTTAGAAAGCAGTAACCAAGTTTGTTGTCTCCTTGACTAACCACCATGTACTGAGTATAAAAGTTCTAAGATCCAATCCATACTGATGAAACTGGCATTCTGTAACACCTTAAATTTCTTGTCCCTCCCAAAGGCTACTTCATCTTAAATTGTACTGTTAATGCCCTTCAATGATAAAGTTTCGAGTAAGATTTTTTTTTAACATATCCCTTCCACTGGTTTATTTCCTAACTAAAGGATAATTTAAACAGTTTTCTACATGGACGGGAGAGGGAAAAGATAGTAATATCCAATCCTATTTAAAAATAAAAATTTCACCTATTTACCTTGTGATTGTAACTATTCATGATTTCCGAATAACACTGTAGTTTATTTGCATTGCATTTACTGAGAATTCATCTTTGGCACAAGAGTCTGTGTCAAACACTGCATGCAACTGAAATTGAAGCTGAATAAATGAAGTGAATGAGTCAAGACTTCAACAGAATTAGCCCAAATTACTCAACAGAATAGTAATATACACTATGCACAAGGTGCAACTACCAACTTACAGATATGTTAACACAACAGAACTTATACAAGGAATAGCATAACATCAACAAGACCCAATATGTTTTGTGTCTGTTTTTAAACTGCTTTTCGGTGCCAGCTTACATGCATACCCACCTAGTTCCTTAAAACTGGTTGTGCACAACATGACTGATCCTCGGCCATATTATCAGGCTTTTATGACTTCTGGCTGCCTAAATAACCAAATGGGCAACCAAAAAAAAACAAACCAAACAAACAAACAAACGCTTAAGAATTGCCAGTTATTATTTAGGTAAATGCGCTAATGTTCTGAAGCTCCAAACCACACCAGGAAGTACTTTAAATGAACTGCCTACAGCCTCCAATGTTGAAGTCCTGTGTTTAATTTCTAGTACACATTTAGAAAAACAAAACCAGAAAAACAGGAATACTACTTTTAAGGATACACTTTATGAAGACAAGTTTCCCCTAAACTAGTAACATTACACACACAAGATGCAAGCCCTGATATTAAAGCATATTTGTTAGACAGAACTCATCGCTGAAACACTTTTAAAGGGAACTGCTATCGAAAGTCCTAGTCTTCATTCATCCTATATACATTTACTGAACCTTGCCAAGTGCCAGGCGCTGGACTAGATTTTTAAAGAATAGAGAGCTGTGAAAAGAAAGGCCCTGCCCTCAAAATAGGTGAAAACCTAACAGAGGTGATCAAATAAAAATTCTGTCCAAGTGTGACAATGAGGTATAATGATTTGGAGGGTGAGGCAATCAAATAAAAACACAGTTCAAGTGTTACGATGAGGTGCACCTGATTGGAAGGCGATGGAAAGTCTTCCTGAGACACCTAGAAAGACAAACAGGAGACAGGGAGGACGCAGAAGGAAGGATATGCATTGCAGAAGAAAATCCAGAGGAAAGGAATGTGTGAAGGTATGGAAATGAACTATCACTGCCCACGCTCGGAAAAGCAGCAGTTTGGCATGAAACACACACATGCTGTATGTGGAGGGCAGATGGGTGTGAGGTGACAGGCAGTCGCTTCTAGAAATCCTAAAGGAACACGAAAAGACTAAACCCGAGGCCCTCCGTAATGATCGGCATTTACACTCAGCGTAAAGGCAATGAAAACTAGGAGTGACTTTTAAGTTCTACCAAGTGGAATGGCCTCAAAACAAGGTGGATTTGGTTGTCAAGGGTATGCATGCATGAGGCCAGTGATGTATACGGTTAATATAGTATCTGGGAATTACCAGCCTTTGGGGAGAAGTGGAAAGGCTTGGATGGCATCTGAAGTGAGAAAAGAGCTAAAAAGGATGAAGAGGGAGCAAAGAAGTACTTTCAGCTTGTACAACAAACTCCGCCTCAATCACAGAATCATAAAGGCCTCGTTTAAATCCGGATTCAGTGAGGCCTTCCCCGATGTACCACACAGTGACGGTCTCTACCATGGACGCATTCATTCCACTCATACCGTCACTGGTGCTTTATACCACTGGAGATCCTTTTACCTTAACTTTCCAACATGGCTGTTGGATTCCCTGAAAGGACGAGTTTTCTGTTTGCTCCATGTATGAGCTGTAGGAAGTTCCACACAGCAGGTGGTATCCTTTCACCTCATGTGTGAATTTATACCACAGCTGCAGGAAGACAGCGGTGTTCAAGTCTGCAGGAAACAGAAATCAAGAAGAGACCCTATCTCTAGAACGCCTAAGTGTCCACACACAACAAGTGGAGTTCCAAGATCTTCTTAGGATAAAACAGCACTGGTAAAATAAACTGCTGGTTCCAGCTCAGGTCATGATCTCCTGGTTTCATGGGTCCAAGCCCCGCACCCGGCTCTGTGCTGGTAGCGCGGAAGTGCACAAAACCATAGGACACCGCTCATACAAAGTGGAGAAACATGCAGAACTCATCTGCAGCATTAGAAGTCAGGAAGGTGGCTAAAGTGACAGTCAAGGGTGTAAAATGGGCTCTGGGGTCCTGGCAATCTTCTGCTTCTGGGTGCAAGTTACATGGTGTGTTCGCCTTGTGAAAAGTTCCTCAAGCCTTATAATTATGATTTGTGAGCTTCTTTTTGAACTACAGTTCAAAAAGCTTACTTAAAAATACACAGGAAAGGAGATCCTGGCTGACTTAGTAGGTGGAGTACGCGACTTCATCTTGGAGTTGTGAGTTCGAGCCCCAAGTTGGGTGTGACCGCTTAAAACAAAATCTTAAACAGGTGTTAAAAAAAAAAAATGAGGAACACACTTGTGATGGGGAGGATAAAGGAAGATGTCACAAAGAAAAAAGGCCCTGGCAATGGAACAGAAGAGAAAAATGAGAGCCAGAAAGACTAGAATGTTTCAGTTCAAGCCGTAAAGGGGACATTTAGAGATCCACTATTACCTAAAGTACTAATGAACTGAATTAGTGCCAACAACTTCCGCAAGTAGCTGCAGTTTACCAAAATAGCTTTTATTAATCTTGGAATTTCGTCAGCATTTACAGAGGCACAGGACAAACGTATGCCACATGAATAATACATAACTGAATCCATTCAAACCTCGTATCCCAGTAACTAACAGGATATACTGACAAGTTTGCTGGCCGGGCTTCAATATGTGACACGCAACTAAGGAAAAGTTGAGCAGCTGTGCACAAAGGTTCCAACTCTAAATTGTCCCCAACCCAATGAGCTAAATGGCACAGGCTACAGAAATAACTAGCCCCTTGCTCCAAAAGAAAGCAGCGTGTATGTTGCCTAAAAAGACAAATGTGTATCTCAACACTGTCTAGAAAGCAGTCACCACCCTGGAGCTCATCACTCCATACTTCTATCCATACCCTGCTCTAATTTCTCCCAAACACTTGACACAGGCCGAAATTATATTTTAGTTTTCTGTTTGTTTGCTGATTTTCTCTTCCTCTCCATAGTATTTTAAACTCCATGAAAACAAGGACCTTGTCTGTCTTTTCACTACTGTACACCCAGAGCCCGTTTGGCTGTGTGCTCAATAAAAACTTGTCAAATAACCACAACTACCCAGGTAATTTACTTTAAGGTCACCAAGTATACACAAGATCAAGTCAGTACCAATAAATCAGTAAGTCCAATGTAATAGCAAATACAAAATAAATTATCACTGTTTCTGGGTAAGAGTGATCGTTAAAACTCTACCAGCTTCGAGGCTGAAAGGTTTCCTAAGGTTTGATGGTTTGGAAGACAGGTAATTTTTCCATGTATTTTATGGAGAAATTTTATGAAAGACAAATACTACAGTAAAACCAATGTGACCTAAGAAGCAAAACCACTGTGGTGGTTGAAAGCATAGGGAAGTTAGGTACACCCCACCCCTGCTTTCCGGGAGTTTTCCTATCAGAAACTATCTCAGGGCGATGCAGTTTTGAAGATCAGAACTTTTCGCTTGTCACTAACTATGTGTGTTTTCCCCTAAAACTCCTAGTACTACGCAACTATTCAAGAGGTGTTGAGAAAACGTCCACACTTAGAACCGTGAAGAATGCGGGAGCTCCTACATAAGGAGACCATTTTGCAAACAACACAACTGAGTACCAACCTCTAATTCAATATCCGGAGTACCGACTTTTTTTTTAAGGACATAATCTTATTACACCTCAAAAGTAAGTTCCTCACTTCTGCTCGCCTATAAAAGCTCTAAAAAGAGCAAGCACACTTTTCAGAGGGATGGTATTAAAATAAACGGGATTTGAACTCAACATCATGATGCAATCTGGCACTGAAGACTAGCAAAGTTCTAAATCGACGGTAACTACCCAAAGCAAAAGTTTACCAACTTTCAAGTGAGTGTGATTTAAAGAGTAGCTGAAGGTCAAAAAGCAGCACAATGATAAAAAAATAAAAAAATAAAAAAATAAATAAAGCACTGATCAGCAAGAGTTGCGGCAGGGTCCTGGCAATCTGTATTTTCCAACCAAGACATCGCTGCATTCCGAGAAATAGTAAGACCGGAGCAAAACACATTTCATTTAACACCAAGTCTAGGAAGTTACTGTGCTCAACATTCAAGAAATTCCACTTTAGAGAACAGTTAGGTAAATGCATTAATTTGCAGGGTTTTCTCCTTCTAAAAGCTGATGGTATCATCTTTCATGAGACTGGCAAAGTAGGCCGGGAAATCCTACTTTGTCTACCTGCTATTTACCACCTAGGAAAGGGATAGTGTTTCCTCCCCACCCATGGTCCCCTTACAGACACACTCTTCCTGCCTTGTGTTGGAAGGCATAAATAAGCCCTGAGAGCGCTTGGCATGGTGAGGAGGAAGAAACTTCCAGGGTGCAGGTGACCCCTCTCTGTGCTCTCATGATATATCGTGGAATAGGCAGAAGAAAATCGTATGACGTGATGAAAATCAACAACTAGTTTGTGGTGATGGTTGCAGAACTCTTTTAAAACAACTAAAGTTCAATGAATCATACACTTCCGATTAGTGAATTTTATAGTACGCCAATTATACCCAGTAAAGCTATAAACACGGGATAGAGCGTGTGACGATACGGTTAGAAAAAGGAGTATATACTGAGACCTTCCATATACCTGCGATATCCAAAATATAGATCTCTACTGCCCGCTGAATTTCCAAGCAGCCTACTAAGCATCTCCTCTTCCTTCCTGTACGTTCCTTAGGAGCACCTGGTCCTGCGTCCATTCTGCTCTATGCTGCTCCAATAAGAAGACAATCCTATGAATCACTTTCATGAATCTACCTGCAGAATTCAACATATCTGGTACACATGGCAATAACAATAAAAAGTTGGCTGGTGATTTTGTAGGAATCAATTCTCCTTGTCCAAAGAAATGGGGAGGTGGAGGAGAAATCCTTCTAATTGATTCCTCACGCCAGACTGCCCCAATCTCCCATAGCATTTTTTAAATCACTCTTAAGGCCTTTATAACTTGGATTCTGATCATCCCTGTACATGCCTAACCAGCCCACCCTCCCGACCAATGTCTTGAACAGTATCTTTCACATCCTGGTAATTTAATAAATGTTCTTTGGATGAGAGTCAGTATTTTTCTTATCAAACGGAGTAACACCAATTCTACCTTGAAGGGTAAATGCAGTTCTGTGTCCTACTGGACCGACTACTAATTAAAACCTGACTTCTACAGTTGACAGTAGATGATGGTGACAGTGACAAAAATAATGAACTCCAAAATGACCAGTGGCTAGGCCACTAGGTAGGCTGTTGTTACAAAATGTGTAAGAAACACCAGCTCAGAGCAATAACAATTTCTATACCAGTCAACAGGTTCACAAAGCCCTTTTTTTATTATTTAAGTTATTCTAATTTTTTTTAAAAAAATTTTTTATTTATTTCTGAGAGAGACAGGCAGCGTGAGCAGGGGAGGAGCAGAGAGAGAGGTAGATACAGAATCCGAAGGAGGCTCCAGGCCCTGAGCTGTCAGCGCAGAGCCTGACACAGGCCTCGAACCCATGAACGGTGAGATCATGACCTGAACCGAAGTCGGACACTTTAACCGACTGAGCCACCCAGGTGCCCCTATTTAAGTTATTCTAAAATCAATTTCTGCCTATTACTCAGCATTCAAAACCCAAAAACTTTCTACTGTCATCAATACCAGGTATGATTAAAACAATGCAGGGCAAAATTTTAAACCTTTGAGGTACCAAGAAAATGTCAAGAAAAAGGCCAGGGAAACCACACAGCAGTGAGGAGTAGTAGCACCAAGAAATTAATCGACAGTTGCTAGGCAGGAGAAGCCTGGAAGAAGAGCCGTGAAATTCACCCATCCACATGAAACCCATTCATAGCATAAGAAAGCCAAAATGTCATTCCCCTTCCAAATAATGACGACTTTGAGAACAGATCTAAAACACCAAAATACTGGCAATAACCAAGATGAAACAAACTCTGGCTACGTAAGCATATCTATCGTGACTTGGTAAAAGTTTAAGTCCTCAGATCTCAGAAACCCGTGTTCAAATCCGACTCAACCAGAGACCTCAAAAAATTACACAAAAACCCTTAAAGGTTAGGAAGGAGTATTCTATTCCTAAAATAGTTCATCTTTAATGATTTAATGTATTTGTTAAAAAAAAAAAACTGTATTTCGCTGTCATCATCTGGAACCCTGAAAAAAACTAAACACTTCTATTGCTTTTAAAATCAAACCTCCTACATGCTTTCAAAACGTTTGATAAGTCAGATTTTTTTTAAATACACGTAGAAACTGAAATGCATTTCATTATAAGATAATTATTCCCAGCAATACATCAGATGTAATCTTGAATTTGGTTTTTGCTCTTCACCAGTAAAGTTCTCAAGTTCTTAGGAGTTTCCTAGTCATTTACTTGAACATCATCTACGGTAACACTCAAAGCAAAACCACAATAAAGAGGTTTGGCCTCTGAGGGATTCTACGTGTAAAAAAACATTACTCATAAATAAAATACAATCACTATTGCTTTAAATAACAAATACATTTCTAAACTTTCATCCCATCTGATGGAATTCCCTGTTTCATAGAGCAAAGCCAAATTAAGCTCCCAACAAGTGCTTTTTATTTTAACTAAACCTGTTCGACGGTAATACAAAAACTGACATATGAGTTTGCTGTAAAAACTTCTGGAGAAATATTTTTAGTACTTGAATACTTTTACTCAAAGCACTCATTATTTAAAGAGTTAGTGGAAGTCACACAACTGCTCCACCAGTAATTGGACCAATTCATCCCAGAATTATATTCTGTAGATTACCCAATATCCTAGGTAATCCCAGGTATAAATAAAGCACTAAAACCCTAACAGGACACACTCATTTAGTCCAAGAAAGATATCCAGTTAGAACTATGCAGTACTACTACACAGGCATACTGGAACACCACCAATTCAAAAACGAGTACCTGATGAAATGAGACTTCTGGCAATCAACTGAAGTCTTCAAGGATTCACTAGAACTCACTCCTTCTCCCTGGCCTTCAGGCACACATCCCCCAGTGTCTGCCCGTTAAGCGACATGGAGGACAGTTTAACTTCAAACTCTAAGATCCCCTGAACCAAATTCCAGATACAATTTAAAAAATGACCAGAAAACTACAAAACCAGCTTTGACATTTTATCCGAATATACCTAACTGTTAAAAGTGGAGAGTCGTTCGGCTCATTTTGATACCAGATGCGATTTACTACCTGCACAAAAGCGAAAAGGAATTCTTTCAACATCCTTTTCACTGTAATAAAGCTTTAAACACACTCTTCAATATATTCCTTGCACCATTTTGCCAGATCGTCCTCCGTCACCGCTCTGCATAAGCTCATCAGGAAAAACACAAATTGACGGCTCAGCTCTCCAAAAACGACACTTTACCAAACCCCATTTATTTTCACAGTGCAAGAAAATAACACACATTTGCAGCTCAAAGACAAGCAGAGCACAACCAGTCTAAATGTACATCCACCGTTAAATCTCTCGGAAAAGAAAAAAAAAATTTAATTCAGGACAGGCAAATTAAAAACACTCTACACATGGCAAAAATAAAAGGTCTCAAGTCCTACAATGCATAGCAAAAGCACTGCTTCCTCTCTTTCCGAGCCAATACCAATAAGCCAATGGATACAAGTGTCAAAGAAATCCAGCCTGTTGGAAATAAGACGAAAACCTGGAAAAATTCCCTCCCATAAATCATTCAGTGAATAGGAAGCTTTGCACCCACCACGAAATACACACAACCAAAACCACTCATCACCCACCCCCCCAAATGCAAAAAAGCCGTAATCAACAAGTTTGAAAGAGGGCAGCAAGTAGAGCTCTCGACCCGATCTCCCACCTTAAAAAAAGGAAAAAAAAGTCCTTCCACAAAAGCTAACACACATCAAGTACCTGGTAGAGGTGCCTTTCCTCACATCGCAGATGCTGCATTTAAAGGCTTCAGCGCTGTTTCTGAAGGTGCAGACGCTACAATCCCAAAAGCCTTCGTCTGCGGCAGGTTTCGCTTGTCTTTTTGGCCTTCGGAGGAGTGAGGAGTGGGGGAAAGGGGAGGGAAGAGACAGGGAGCAGGAAAGAGGGGGAGAAACAGCAAAACACAGGCGCTGGTGAGCCGTCGCAATTTCGCAGGAATCCAGTGCTGGAAACTTCGCTCGGGCGACCACCCACCCACCCTTTTCGGGGACTGAAAGAGGGACCGAGGGAGGGCACGGGGCGCCCCTACCGGCACCCCGCAACCTCCGGGCGCGGGCCGTACAGCCTCGCACAGCAGGAGGCGGCGGCGGCGGCTGCGCCCCGGGAAGGGCCGCGGCGGGCGCAGGAAGCGGGCGGACTTGTGGACTTGAGCGTGGGGCTGGGGGGGCCGGCAGGGGAGCCGCGGGCCGGATCTGGAGGGGGCGCACAGGGGCAGCCCGAGGCCGGCGGCGGGGAGTGGGCCGGCTCCTTCCCTCTCCCCTCCCATGCTCGCGCCCTCCCTCCCTCCCCACCTGGTTAAATCTCCCTTTGTCTGGGAGGAGTGGCGGCGGCGGCGGCGGCGGAGGGCGGCTGAGGAGGAGCCGCCATGGCTGCGGCGCGCACGGCCGCCGGCCCCGAGCGGGAGCGACACCGCCTCCCGCCGCCGCCGCCGCCACCGCCCGCCGCCGCCACCTCCCCCCGCCCCCGGATCTCCATCTTAGCAGCGCCTCCCCCCCGCCCCGGGTGGCTCCGGGGCCTAGTCGTCGCCGGCCCCCGCCCGCCCCCAACCCTCCCTCCCCTTCCGCCCCCTCAGCTCGGAGCAGGTACCTGGTCGGGCTCTTCTTGTCGCCCATGGTCATGGATGGGCTGTACCCCCGCCCCCCCCAAAGCCGAAATCGGCGCCGCTCGGAGAAGAAACGCCGTCCGGGGAGTCGTCGCGGACCGGCCCCCCTCCCTCCCCCGCGCCCGCCCGCCCTCAGCCGCTGGGGCTCGAGCTCCGGCCGCCGCCGCCGCCGCCGCCGCCGCCGCCGCCGCCGCTGCCAGTCTCCGGACGAGACTAGTCCCCGCCAGCGCCGCCTCCGCCGAGTGACTGACGAGGGGCGGGGCCGGGCGCCGCGCGTCACGCGCCGTGTGGCCAATCGGAAGACCGCGGCCTGCGCCGCGAGGGCGAGGGCGGGGCGCGGGGGAGGGCGGGGCGTGGCGGACGTGGGCTGGGCCGTCGGTGTGCGTGCCTGGGAGTGTGTGCGCGCTGGGGGCGCGCGTGCCTGCTGGTGGCCCGGCGGCCCGGCGCGGCGGAGCGTGCGAGCCCGGCGGGGCGCACGTGGCCGCGCCCGGGAAGCGGCGGTGGCGTCCGGATCCCTCGCTCCCGCTCTGTGGGGCTGTCGCGTGGACCCCGGCCCCGAAGCCGCCCCGGGGGAAGTAGTTCCGCGCAGTTTGCGCGCGCCACTGGGGCTGGCAACTGCCTTGCCGCTTGCAACGCCTCGAGGCTTGTGGTGCCCCGGGAGGCGGCAGGGCCTCTTTTGGCCCGGTTCCCCCGCGCCCCTCTGCTTCCCTGCCACGCGGAGCTTTGTATCTGCCTCTCATAAAGTCCTGGCCGCCTGCGGCTACTCCAGCCCCAAGCCCCCTCGCTGGCCCCTGATGCGGGAGAGAACTGTGCATTAAGGGTGTGGCACAACTCACGGTTCCCCAAGGCCTGATTCGGAACTCCGGTGCAGCAACTCCCCCGTGAGACACCCCCCCCCGCCCCCCACCAGCCTAAATAGGGCGTTTCCCTCGGGAAGTCGCTGTTCAAATCCTGGCTGCC